CAACGTGTTGAATAAAGAATGATTTGCAAGAATAGCATCTTCTCAAGACCGAATTAGGTAATTAGCAACCAAAATCAATCAATTCAATCCATAGCAATAGTCAACTAAAAAATGGTAGGAAATTACAGTAAACCCCTTGCTCCTTTCTCTCCAACGTTGCTTTTTCTGACACAATACATAAATTTCAATTCTTAGATAATTCACAACACTAGCATCTATTTTATACAATGGCATTCATACGTTAGCCTTTACTTTCGACAATGACATTCATAACTTTTATAATCATCGATAATCGTGTATCATACTAGGTTAATTTTGAGGGACCTCTTCTTTGATCAAATAAATAGCCAGTCAACAATTTTATAGACCGCCCCTTCTCATTTCGGAGGTGAAAAAAAGTTTGTCTACTTCCTAGTATAAATTTTGCCTATCTTGAGATTGTATTACTTGTTCTATTTAGTAACTGTACAAAACTATCGAGATACAGATGGTTGGAAGACATAATGTTTTCCTTGTGATTGGAGAATAGTTTGAAGGGTGCGATGGTGTGTGGACTTCTTTGGCCGAAAAAAAGGAACACCATAGGTGCTTTCCTAAGCGCAAGAATGACGTATTCGGAGGCGGTGCAAGTCGTAAAGGAAAAAATGGAAATAGCAGAAGACGTGGTCATCGCTCTCACAAACATGCTAATGGATAATGGAAAAGACACACCATCAGTTTCTATTCGCTGCGACGAGGATGTTTTACTTTTGGCGGAAATGCGGTCTGAGATAGACCAACTAAACCTATGCGTAATGGTGGACGAATATGTGACTGAGAATGTCTCTCAGAGGGTGAAGAAGACAACTCTGAATGTGGCTGATCATTTGAATGAGACGGCTCTGGTGTTTCTTCCAAACTCAGAAGACGATGACGCAGACGATGATGGTAAGTTTTGTAAAGTATTCATATTCCATAACTAGTAGTCGATTACTAATGAATATGATTATCTAAGTAGCATATACGGTTATTTGGTAAACATATATGGTTATAAAGTAGTCTACTTCATGATGTGAAATTTGTAAACGGGTTAGTAATGTTTATCTAAGTGAAACATGATTATCTGAGTAATATATGTAGGACCAAAATAAATCGAACACTAAGAAATAGCGATTGAAATACGAGATCAAATAAAACGTTAAGGCAAAGAGAAACGAGTGGAGGCGAGACTATGATCTCTTTCCTTAAATCTTTGAATCGCCCGTAGTGCGACGGGTTTTTGTGATCCAAGAGTCACAGGATACAACCAAACTTATCTGTTTTCAACAGCACTAAGAAATACGGATCTAAACGAACTAGTTCTACTATACTCTCGGAAGAGGACTAAAATAAAGAAAGAGAGGGTGAGAGACTGTTGCAAAAATTTCAGAGAAGAAAATGTGAGGTGTGTAGTATGAAAAATGAGAGAAGAGGTCGTGTATATATAGCGGAGGAAGAGACTTGAGCAGTCTCCAAAAATCCCAAAAAATCCGCAAGTCAAACACGAATCTCGGCCATAAATTTAGCGTAGTCAAAGGCGAAAAATCAGCAATCTGTGATTAATAACAATCTGTTAAGTTTTTGTGGGGATAATGAATATCCAATATTCTTTTGACTGAATCAAAAACATATGAAGAAAGTCAACCTAAAAACATTGACCAAACGCTCATAAAAATATACCGCCTTGGGCCCGAAGGCCCATTCGACCAACACGACCTGCGCCCGCGCCCGGCCTGGCTAGGCGGCAGCGGCGCGCGCGTGGGGCTTCCTCTTTTCTCTCACATGTTATTCAAACATGTATGAAACGACTCTTAATATATACTAGAGCTTTCCCCAATAATCCATCGATGTGGGACAACACCACTTACACACTCACTTCATTTCCTCTTCACCCTTACTGGGCTTTAATAATTTCGGCCCAACAGTCCCCCACATGAAGAGAAATGACTCTAAACATATGAAGACTCAACTGACTCGATAAAACTTAATTCGACTAGACTAGACACGACTCTGACTAGACTAGACAGACTTCCGAGAGTATGCGAAAATGCAAATGTATCTGAGAGGTAGCATTTTTCAGCTTTGAACCCATCATTTTTAATATTTGTCGGGTTTACTCGGCCAGGACATGTACATGATGTCTTGAACCACCCATACTTTGATGTAAACCGAGACAACAGTGATCGCACAGCAACATTTTCTCGTAGAACTTGAGGTCTCTATTGTGATCATTTTGGCCTTGAACATTCCTGGTTTCATGAGTGAACTTGGAGAATATAGCCTTCCTTTCATTGTCCTAGAAATGGCCCCATTTCACACTCATTAGGTGATCTGCCATTAGTTTTGTTTTTAAGAAGTAACCTGTAGTACTTTACGAATATCTCAAAACTATGGAATCATTAAAAGCTACAGCTTAACCTTAACACTCACAGGTAGCACTGTTTATCATCTTAGGAACTGGGAACAAGCATAGTTTCACAGTGCTCACTTCTGAATCCGCTTGATTTCGTTTTCCCTTTGAACCTAGATCTTGGGATCTCCAGTCACATAGGTAGGGTTACCATCAGGCGTCACTTTTATCTATAGGCTTTAAACTCACTCCTCTTGATGATTTAACAACTTGATCTCGCGCCATACTTTTTGTAAACGAGTCTGCTAGATTTTCAGCTGATTTGATGTAGTCTAACTTGAGTACACCAGTCGACATCAAATGTCTAACGGTTTTATGGCGTCTTCTAATATGACGAGATTTACCATTATATAGCTTATTCAGTGCCCGAGATATAGCCGACTGACTATCACAGTGTACACGTAATGCGGGCATTGGCTTTTTTCACATCGGGATATCTTCCAAAAAATTCTGAAGCCGCTCTGCTTCCTCTGCGGCTTTGTCTCGTGCTATAAACTCAGATTCCATGGTTGATCTGGCCAACAGAGTCTGTTTGGAAGATTTCCAGGATACTGCTGCACCACCAAGTTTAAAGACATATGCACTTGTTGATTTCGAATTCTTAGAATCTGAAACACAGTTGGCATCACTATAGCCTTCTAAGACTGCTGCTTCTTTACCGTAGTGCAACCCATAACTTTTGGTGTATCTAAGATAATTCAATACTCTAGTTATGGCCTTCCAGTGATTATGACATGGATTACTTGTATAGCGACTAAGTACATTTACTGAGTGCGCTAAATTGGGTCTCGTACAGTTTGTTAAGTACATAAGACTTCTGATCACCCTTGCATATTCCACCTGTGACACTGGTTCACCTGAATTTTTTGTCAAGTGAAAATGAGGGTCAGCTGGACTTTTTGCAACTCTATTTGAGTAGTTCTTAAACAGCTCAAGTATTTTTTTCAGCATAATGTTCTTGGGACAAGATTATTCCATCCGAGTGTCTTATAATTCTAATTCCTAGAATCACATCAACTAATCCCATGTCCTTCATATCAAATTTGCTACTTATCAAATTTTTAGTTCGATTGATCATGTCTTTATTGCTCCCAATAATGAGCATGTCATCAACGTATAAGCAAAGCAAAACATACCCATGAGGAGTAATTTGATGTATATACATTTATCACATTCGTTAATGCTGAAACCATTTGACATCATTACATTGTCAAATTTTTCATGCCATTGTTTTAGACCTTGTTTAAGTCCATACAATGATTTAACAAGTGTACAGACTTTGTTTTCTTGTCCTGGGACAACAAACCCTTCAGGTTGTTTCATGTAAATTTCCTCTTCTAAATCACCATTTAGAAATGCGGTTTTCACATCCATTTGATGCATTTCTAGATCTATCAGTGCTGAAATTCCAATCAGCATTCTGATTGAAGTTATTCTCGTTACCGGAGAATATGTGTCAAATAAATCTAGACCTTCTTTTTGTCGAAATCCTTGCACTACAAGCCTAGCCTTGTACTTGTCTATCGATCCATCGGTTTTCAACTTTGTTTTGAAAATCCATATACACCCTAGAGCTTTCAACCATTGTGGTAGATCGGTTATCTCATAAGTGTGATTCTGTCTAATTAAGTCCATCTCACTTTGACAGCTTCCTTCCAAAAAGACGACCATCTAGCGTTGACATTGCTTCTGTGAATGTTCTTGGTTCATTTTCAGCTAGGAAAACTACTAAGAACTCAGAACCAAATGTTTTTTCCTTACGAGTTCTTTTACTCCGTCTAGGTTCTTCTTCTTTTTCCTCGTCATTAATAGCAGTGCCCGAAGTGCTTGCTCCATTTCCAGAAGTAAAGGCATCTCGTTGATCACGAGATCGTTTATTGCTTTCTCTATCCTTGCATGGAAACACATTTTCAAAAAATGAAGCATTTCTTGACTCCATTATTGTATTCACATGAATATCTGGTATATCTGATTTATGTACCAGAAATCGATAGGCACTACTATTATGAGCATATCCGATGAAAATGCAATCTACCGTTTTAGGTCCAATTGTGACCTTTTTCGGAGGTGGTGCTGCAACTTTTGCCAGACACCCCCACACTTTTAAGTATTGATACGAAGGTAATCTTCCCTTCCAAAGTTCGTACGGGGTTTTTCCCGTAACTTTATCAGTATTTTGTTGAGGATATAATTTGTGGTAAGCAAAGCTTCCCCCCACATGTTATGGGGTAACCCAGATTCCTGCAACATTGCATTCATCATTTCTTTTAGAGTTCTATTTTTTCGTTCTGCAACTCCGTTGGACTCTGGTGAATAAGGAGCGGTAGTTTGATGAATAATGCCATGTTCCCTACAGAACGCATTAAAAGGTTCATCATATTCTCCTCCTCTATCACTTCGAACTATTTTAATAGTTTTATTAAGTTGGTTTTCCACTTCTTACTTATATTGTTTGAATTTCTCCAAAGCTTCATTTTTACTGCTTAGTAGATATACATAACAATATCTTGTGCAATCATCTATGAAGGTTACAAAATACTTCTTCCCACCTCTACTTTGCACATATTTTAAGTCACATATAATCAGTGTGAATTAAACTTAGAGGTTCAGTTGTTCTTTCCACGTTAGGTGATGGTGTTTTACTGAGTTCAGCTTGAACACAAATATCACATTTGTCTTTACTTATTTTGTGTTTAGGAATCATATTCATGTTCATCAATCTACTCATAGTTTTGAAGTTAACATGTCCTAAACGTTCATGCCATAAAGTAAAAAACTCAGACATATAAGCAACTGGTTTCTTATTCTCATTCATTTTCGAGGTGGAAGCCTCGGTTACAACATCGCTGCGAACAGCTTCAACACACTTCTTAAAAAGACCATCAGTAACAAACCTTTTCCCCATATACATCCCATTCTTGGATAGCACCAGCTTATCCGCCTCTAACTTATTGGTAAATCCATGCTTACTCATGAGAGATCCAGAGATCAAATTCTTGCGCATGTCCGACACATGGACCACATGTGTTAGGGTGAGCTCACGTACAGAGGTAAGCTTCAGAACAACTTTCCCATAACCTTCAATCTTTGATGTCACAGAGTTTCCCATAAATAGCTTCTCATAACTCTTGTTCTTGGTGTAGGCAGAGAACATTGACCTGTCCAAGCAAATGTGCCTGGTTGCACCAGTATCGAACCACCAAGCCTTGGGATGGCTATTAGCAACACTTGCTTCAGTGATCATCGCACACATGTCTGGATAGGCGAGATTAGCTTCATGTTTCTTTGGAGCCTTTTTGCTGCGGCACTCAAAGGATTTGTGGCCTGTCTTGCCACAATTGTGACATGTTCCAGCGAACTTTTGTGAGCTTTCAATACCACCAAATTTCTTCTTTTTGATCTTCTGTGAGTTCTGTGGTGGTACTTTGCCCTTTCATTTGTCTTGGCGTCCTTTGTTCTGGCGCCCTTTGTGTTGGTGTTCCACAACATTCGTATTGGGTTAGCAAATTTCCACACATACTCCGAGGTTCTTTCGGTTTGTTGACTCCATATGGAGCTTCATGGTTAGGTCTTCAAGACTCATCCACTTCTTCTTCAACTTCAGATAGTTTTTGAAGACCGTCCAATGAGGTGGAAGCTTCTCAATGATGCATGCGACCTGATTGGTCTCACACAGCCTCATCCCCTCAGCATGGATCATTGAGAAGAGTTTGTACCTTTCCCACTTGATCCATTATTGGTCTGGAATCCACCATTTTGTAATTTAGAAATTTTGCCACAGCGTATTTCTGAGATCCAGCATCTTCCGTGCGATACTTTTTGTCTAGAGAATCCCATAGTTCTTTAGACGTCTCAACATTGCTATACACCTTGAATAGTGCATCAGCAAGACGACACTGAATGTATCCTTTGCACAAGAAGTCTCCGTGTTCCCATGCTAACTAGCTCGCAAGTGCATAAGAATCATCATTATCTGATGAGAGAATAGGTTTCTCTTCACAGGTGTACTTTTCTCCAGCTTAAGTATGGCCAGATAGAAGAATATCTTCTTCTGCCACATCTTAAAGTCCTGCCATCGAACTTGTCGGGAAGGACAGCTACTGTAGTTACCGCTGGCATCTGAACCGATTGATACTGTCCAGTAACCGCAGTTTGGACATAGCAGAGATCGGAGGTGGAATAACCACATTCACTGGTGGGAAAGTCCCAAACTGGATCTGTTCAGTCCCAACAGTGGTAGTCTGATCAACTGAGGAGACATTTAGAGTTTCGTTTTCCATTTCTGAAAAGAAACACATTCCGCAGATTAGAAACGATTTTAAGAAGTATACAAAGTACAATCCGCAGATATAATATGTATACTCAGCAGAATTTTCAGAATAAAAACGAGTTTAAAAGAATACAATTTTAAATATTATATGTATAATATTTCTAAAATCCAACTCAAATCGCTATCAAATAAGGTCGATAAGCACCACAACCATGCAATTTTTTATTTTAAACCTCCAATGAGAGTTTGATCACAGGTGGGTGACGATTAGAGATGGAGAGTAATAAAATAAAAAATAACGTTTGAAGAAAATACTCGTAATCAATCCATTCAATGTTTATATAACAAGAACGTATTCAAAGAGTTAAGAATGTAGGACCAAAATAAATCAAACACTACAAAATAGCGATTGAAATACGAGATTAAATAAAACGTTAAGGTAAAGAGAAACGAGTGGAGGCGAGACTATGATCTCTTTCCTTAACTCTTTGAATCGCCCGTCGTGCGACGAGTTTTTGTGATCCAAGAGTCGGAGGATATATACAACCAAACTTATCCGTTTTGAACAGCAGCCGCGGTGTAAGAGGCTTCAGCCGCGGGTGGGAGCTACTTCACCTTCCGGACTGTGTTGCTTCGCCTTTAGTGCATTGATAATATCTGGAGATCTAACCGTTGAATTGATTTCATTGTTAATTGCATTGGAAAACTAGTTGTCTCCTCTATAATGTCTCTAAATTTAGGGATGATCAGATGATGAGAAGGTCTTCATTGGTTGCCAAACTTCGGACGACCTGAATTTATTCAAAAAACTAATTTTGCTCTAAAATGCACTCCATAAATCCAAGTTTCCTGAAAAGTCTTTTAAAACTCCAAAACATAGAAATCACTTATAAGCAATTGAAAATAGAGTTAAAATACCTGCATAAGACATTAAAAGTGATCTATAAAAATGGTAAAATCCGGTGTTATCACTGCTCAAGATGAGAACTTCCAAATCTTCCCAATTGCTCATGCCATTGTAGACAGCGATAAAGACGCATCTTATGAATGGTTTTTAAATGTCTGAAAAATTAATTCCAGATGACAGGGTGGTTATGTGTATTTCAGACAGACACTCAAGCATTTACTCGGGTCTGCGAAAGGTTAGGCGTAGTCAACTATATGTAATAGTAGTTAAGTTAAAATTAGTTGACTACTGTCTGTGGTTGACTATTACTAGTTGTTTTCTGATTGCAGGTATATCCTTTTGTCGGGCATGGTGCTTGTCTATTTCATCTAGCAAGGAACATAACAACAAGGTTTAAAGAGAGTCAATAGTTGTCACTTATGGTCCGAGCAGCAAAAGCTTACACTATGATGGAGTACCCAGATTTTTACAGAGTTGCAAAGCATCAGCACCAGTTGCGCCAAGTATCTGCTTGATTTGGGATTCCCACACTGGATAAGGGCTTATTGCATGGGCGGACGGTACAGCCTCATGACTACAGACATTGCTGGGTCTTTAATAAAGTCTTGAAAGAATGTAGGAAGTTTCCAATAATATTAATGCTTGAAGCCATTAGGATGAGTCTTGTCAGTTGGTTTGTAAAGAGGAGAGTTGCAACCTCATCTGACGACCAATCAGTCACTCCGAAAGTCTGAGAAATTCTAGATGATAACTTCTATGGGAGCACAAAGATGAAGATAAAAAGCACAAATATCTTACTTAGCATTATTAATATATGAATATCGGATACTCGCTTATGTTTACTGTTACCTTCAGTACCCATAATTGTTTAAAGCGTTCATATAGTCATACTAGTATACCTTGTTAGACCATCTCCAATGGTCCCTCATTTTGAAGGAAAACATCAAATTATGAGGGAAACTCTTCTCCAATGGTACATCATTTTGAGGGAAAAAATGAGTTTATGAACAGTATTACATCAAATTTGAGAGAACACTTTTCATCCCCTCATTTCAATTTTTAGCTTTGTTTATTTGCAAAATGATCTTTATAGTTTTAAATATATCTCATATATATCTAAACAAAGTTTTAAACTTTTATTTACTATACAAATATAATATTATTGTTTTTAAAACATAATAATAAATAAATATTAGTTAACTTTATAAATAAAAACGTAAAAATATAATTTTTTCATTGTCATGTTATGTAATTTTCTTTATGTAATAAATTGTTTAATATAAATTAAGAATTATGTTTGCTTAAATTTTATAATTTTATAATATAGTTGGGTATAATTTGTAAATTTCGAAATAATGGGTGTTGTTTGCAACTAATAATAAAATAAGCAAAGAATATAATTAGAATATTCCTTTTTGAGAGAAAAAATGAGGGAAACTATTGGAGTAAAACTCTACTTCATTTTGAGTTTACTTCATTTTGAGGGAAAAAATGAGGGAAACCATTGGAGATGCTCTTAGAGAGGTTTGAAGTGAACTTATTTTCAAAAACGTGCAGTCGCAGGGTTTTTTAAATGCTTTAGATACCATGTCTTCACACAATTGGTGCTACTAATAATAGAAAAATTAACATAGAAAAGACGGTAGAAGAGGTGTACACTACAATTTTTCAGATATATCTTTATGGAGGAGCTTTCCACCTAGTACCTACTCTTGTATGTTCTGGTGAGTGTGAACTACTTTCCCCCATAATGTGTCGTCCACCTGGAGGACCAGAAAAACATAAGGATCCTGTCTTGTGGAGAAATGAAGGTAACATTGTCGGCTATGTGATTTATAACTGTAGTTGACTACTTCATTGTCTACTTAGTATCTATAATGTCAAGACAATCGAAAAATCAAAACTGTGTAGCACAATGATGACCAAGTTGAAATATAATACTGTTCATAAATTTAAAACAATTCTATGAAATTTAGTGAATAATTACTTTAACCCTAAAATTTATATATTAGAGAGATGTGAATAACCCAACAGTGATCTGGAATTTATACATTTTTAATGCTTAAAATACATTTATACGCAAAAATGAGTTGTTTATAGTTGTAACTAAAACCTGATATAGTTAGGGGGTGTGAATGGTAAACTTATTATAAAAAGAAATAAATCCAAATTATTACTTTTTATTTCATTCTTATGTTCCTTATTTTTATCACATTTTCAAATTAATGTAAAGTTGTGATGTGTTTTTTTTCTTAACAGTTTTTTTTCCTATTGGTTTCTAAAGGGGGGGGGGGGAATTTATTTATATATCTTTTTTAGACTTTCGGGAAAAGATGTCTCTCAAATAATATGAATGGTAACAATAAATATGGAAACAAAAATCTCTCATTATAATAGAAAAACTTTCCGATAAATTTTGGTTTAGATTTTCTTATAGCTTTTGGTATTTGCATAAAAATGGTTACGAAAAAGAGATTTACAAGCTTTTATGATTAACATAAATCCAAATGTTTGAATTGGATTTTTATAAAAAAGAATTTCTTTATTGTAGGAAAACTAAATGTTTCAATACTTGATGAGTTCATGAAAAACAACAACCAAACACTTTTCAAAATTGTACACCCGTTCAAGAACATATGGATATCTAAATATTTATTTGTGTAGTGATTTGTTGATGTGTCGCGCTCACAGCGAATTTCATAGTGTTTCGCTTACGTATCAGCTCCAGAATCAATTTTGGCTATAAAAAGACCGTTTAACCCTATTTTGCAATTACATGTCATTTTTTGATTGGTTCTTATCTAATAATGTGTAAAAAACTTAAAACAAACTGGTCTAAATTATTATGGTTTAATTTTCAGTTTCATAGTCAATAAAACCGTTTTTTAAATTATATATAAAGAAATTGAAGAAACAAAAATTGAAGCTATTTAAAAAGTAATAGAATGTTGTTTCAAAAAAAAAAACTGAAATGTAAAAAATAAATTCTAACAAAAAATTTAAAAAAAAAAGAAAAAAATATATATCTAACTAATGAAATGATGGTATTTGTGATGTTTAAAACACATAAAACAATGATCAAAATCGAATATGTTCATACGGTACTTCAAAAAATTACGTCTAAGATACATAGAACAATGATCCAAAGATCTCAAAACTATTTAAACTAAATTATTTGGATACTACTATGTTCTTATTTACTCTCTTCTATTCTATATTGTTTTCACGATTATGTCTTCCAACATTAAAATGCAAAGAAATCTAACAAACAAATATACTCAAGAATAAAAAAACAAATGAATCCAAACTACTATTAGATTTTCAAACAAACAAATGGAAATGATATCAGCCCGCACAGGACGCAGAAAAGTTAACTAGTTACGGTTTAGTAGACGCAAGATTAAGAGCAAATCAAATCAATCTTATAATATATTGCTCAAAAAATGTTCATAGCATTGTATATTAAGGGAAAAACATTATTACATATAAAGCAAATTAAGTAAGAGATAGTTTTTTATTTATTAAAAGAGTAAACTATGAAAGAGAGATCATCTTTAGAATTTGCGACCAAGAGTGAGCTCAAGGGACAAAGTCTCATTATTGTTGCAATCATCATTGTCGTCTTCATTATTTTCAGTTTCATTCCTTCCAATCTGCCAAATCCAATTATATACATTATAAAATATATGTAGATTAGGGGCATTTAAACAAATTTAATAGTAATTACTTACGAGATGAAAAATAATGTGGGGCATATGCCACACCTCTGCTCTACCTGCGTTCGTCCCTGTTAATAATATATTATATATAAATGAAATGATCTATATCAAAATTTTTAATAAAAATTATGCATACTTGGTCATTGATAATCATGTTTGATGATATAGCGTAAGAATTTTAAAAAGAGAGGAAACTTAAGAATTTTAAACAAAGTGACAACTTACTCTTGAAGATTGAAACAGAGACTTGGAAGATACTTCATTAACCTCATTACTTGATTCTCCTTTCTCCATAATTTTAATCTGATTTCTTTCTTCTTTTCTACAATAATTGATTAAAAAAGTACTATCAAATTTAAAACAAAAAATATATTATAATATATT